TCTGCATCCGTCAGTGTAACCGTCCATGCGTCCATCAGCCCGTCCGTGCGTGCGTCTGTTAGTGCGTCCGTCCCTGCGTTCGTCCATGCAGCCGCCCCTGCGTCCGTTCATGCGTCCATCCATGCATCTGTCTATGTGTCCGTCCATCTATTCAACACTCCAAGTACCACCATCTCGCATCTTTTCATCATATATTCCTCATATAGAAGCACCGCCATCCAGCGGACATTCCAAAGACTAAACGAGAGGTGGCGCACGCACACTTTCTTACGGCTTGCGCTTCGGGTCCACTTCCCACCTTTAACCACCTCGAGTTCATGGTATATACTAGTTCACTGTATTCATGGCACTGCGGCCGAACGCTCGCTAAACCTTTCGAAAACCAAGGAGGTTATGCCCAGCGAGTACGACGTAGCAAACTTTTTGAGTCAGATAGTGCTCAATGTACATGCCAATGGCTGCTAATGGCAAATGAGAGGCGGAGAATTCGGCTTTTACTTTCTTACGGCTTGCGCTTCGTATCTACTTCCCATTCTTAACCACCTCAAGTTCATTCATGGTATATACAAGTTCATTGTATTCATGGCACTGCGGCTCAACGCTCGCTAAACTTTTCTGAAGCTAAGGAGGTTACACCCAGCGAGTATAACGTAGCAACCCTTTCTTGTCAGATAGTGCTCAATGTGCATGTCAATGGCTGCTAATGGTGATCGCAGCCTGCGCGTTAACTAAAAGCCGAATGCTCCTGTCTCTCATTCCCCATTAGCAGCCATTGACATGTACATTGAGCACTATTTTTTATTGTTCAACAACGCACAGAAGAAATGTCTCACCGGAACCACCTTGGAGGTCAAAATGTTATACTTGTTAAATAATACGGGGGACGAACGGGTGCCGTTATAAGGAGCTTCACCCCTAAAAAGCGCGCACACTGAAGCACGTGAGTGTCATAGTCGTTTTGCGAGTTCGGTTGACCGCCGAAACTTCAGCACACAGCCCCTTCGTCGCTAACTGGCTAGAATCTCTAATGTTCCGGCACTCCAAAGTTTACTGCTTCGAAGGTGGCGGTCACTTAGCCGTGCTAACGTTACCGAAAGCTGTTGTCTTTGGGAGCTGTAACTAGGCCAATCATAAATGACGTGTGCAATGGCTTTCTCGCTGCTACAGTGATCACAAGCATCACTGTCTGCCATTCTGATTCGGTAAGCAAAGCTGTTCGCGAATGAAACTCCAAGCCACAAGCGGAAGAGGATTGTTGTTTCGGATTCCGGATAGGCAGGATGGCACTCGAGGTTGGTGTGACGGATCCAGATGGTGAATGTGGGTATGCAAAAAGCCGGTCGTGTTCTACATTGAATGTGTTATATCACGTGAGAATCAGTATTCCTGGCTGAATTATCGGCATGTTATTTGCCTTCAATGCCGTGGTGGCCTGGTCACCAATAGTACAACGTAGCCCTCTCCTCTAATAATACAACTATAGCACACTCCTCTGCGACATTTCTCCGACGCATGAGACATGGCAAAGGACACTTAATGACGCTCTTATTGTGGAGTACGGGAACACGAGGCAGAGCTATATGCTTTCTCCTTTAAAGGGCCCCTGCAACACTTTTTTCAAGTATTCGTCCCATGGCCTCACTAAGAGACCAACATTAATTAGAACTAGTAGGCAAGAAAAGTATAGAGGCGTTATTTTTTAGCAATTTTAATGTCAATGTGAAGAAAGTGGGGAGAACGTAGAGATAACTCACTCCTCGCAGGGTTTGAACCTCTGACTTTTAAATAACGCGTCCGATGCTCCACCAACTGAGCCACTGCAGCAGTCATCCCCTTAGTCCACTTAATATGTGCCTTAAACGCGGTAGTAGTAGTTTCAGCCGCTAGTAGCCATGACGGCGAGCGCTGCCTGCGGGTGTCATGAAACACATCATCTTTCTTTACGAGCCTACAGCTGACCAATAATAACTCGAATATGATCTTAAGGCACCCAGTCTATCAGAACGATACCCTCACTATGTTTGAAAGGAAGGGAATTTTAAAGGTTCATTTTTCTTTGCTAAGCACAACACTACTTACATCTCCCACACAAGAATGCCAAGGAAAGCGATGGTGTCGTCCATGCATGGCAAGGGCCCATGAAGTACATGATAAAGCGGACAGGGGATGAGCGTCGCTGTAATCCAGTTAATGATGAATCGAACGGCTTATTCGAAGGTCGCCGGTTGGGTACATCGTATAAGGGCAAGTTACTTTTTCCGAAAGCCTAATTTTATTCATATTTACTACAAGTCAGCCCCCTACCTTTCTTCTCTTTCTTGTCGTAATTAATGTTGTTCCTAAAGAGAAAATGAGCTCTTCAGGTTCCCCTTCTTTCATTAATAGGATCTTGTTGTCACATGAATCTGCTGCCGCAAACATCTTTAAAATCCTTAAATTATACGAAAGAAGTTACGGTGGTTTCTTGCATGCTTCAAGCACTCCCTTTCTTTCTCCTTTCGCACAAATGAGCACGCTGAAAGCTAGCAGAGACGTGAATGAGAAGGGCCAAAAAGATGCGTCACTTTGTTGGCGCGAGGCATGCCATTCTGCCCTTTTCTTCTCTTCCTAAAACACCTGGCTTACTTTCAGTGTGGTTCACGAATGAGCGAGCGCCCCGCCGTGGTGGTCTAGTGGCTAAGGTACTCGGCTGCTGAACCGCAGGTCGCGGAATCGAATTCCGGCTGCGGCGGCTGCATTTCCTATGGTGGCGTAAATGTTGTAGGCCCGCGTGCTCAGATTTCGGTGCACGTTAAAGAACCCCAGGTGGTCGAAATTTCCGGAGCCCTGCACTACGGCGTCTCTCATAATCATATGGTGGTTTCGAGACGTTAAACCCCACATATCTATCTATCTATCTATCTATCTATCTATCTATCTATCTATCTATCTATCTATCTATCTATCTATCTATCTATCTATCTATCGAGGGAGCGAGCGGACATGGCGTAGCATGCCGTGGCGGTGAAGGGAACTATTCAACTCGCAATGCTCAAATCAGCCAATCACCACGCACTTATGTTTATAGCTCGGTCATTTGACTTCTTGGCATCATCTGTAGAGAGATGACAGAGTGATTTGTAGCTTTGAGAATTGTTAGTTAAGGCCAGGTGGCATGCTCGGATATACTGCATGGTTTGTGCAAACTGGCGCCAACCACGGACGGGGAAGGGAGAGATCAAGGGAATCTCAAGACCCCCCTGAACCCTCCCTTCCCCCGCCCCTTTTGCGTTTATGCAGGGACGAAGGGGGACACCCTTTCGAAATTAAAGCTGAGTTTTAACTGCTTGAAGGTTAGGTATAGTGCAATCGACTCTTTGTTTCTCGTGCCGGCTTATTTTGTCCGGTGTAGGTCTGTATTCAATACTTCGCAGGTGTGTGAGACCAATGAAATCAAAACAGCCGCTCAACTACTTTCGAAGAAGCCTGAATAGAGCGATGCGATGTCTTGAGCTCGCATGCCTTGCTCGTTTAAAAAGTGTATCAAAATGTATGATTTCAATCTTCATATCAATAATAATTAAAACAATATGGCCGCCATGGCATGCTGTTAGTACCCCCTTGTGGTTTTTCTGGATTTACACTACTGCTCACGTGTTGCCAAGAGCCACGACTACCAGTGGGAAGCATTTCCTGACAATGTTTAGACGTTGTTGAGGGGTCTCTAGAAGCGTCATCGTTTTTGGTATATTCGAAGATATGGTTCGACAGCATGGAATAAAAAATTTTTTATGGTTGTGCATTGTCTGGCAAGCAATGTTCAGACTCGTAGTTCGGGTGCGTTTCCGAAATTTTGTGAACGACTATTATGAGTGCAAGTGCGTGCATGCGTGTGTGCGCGCGTGCGTGTGTGTGTGTGTGTGTGTGTGTGTGTGTGTGTGTGTGTGTGTGTTTGTGTGTGTGTGTGTGTGTGTGTGCGTGCGTGCGTGCCTGCGTGTGTGTGTGCGCGGGCTTGCGTGCGTGCGTGTTTAAAACCAAGTAACGAACTTTAACATCATTCGATTAGTATTACTGTGGTATCTATAGATAATTACTGGTACTTAATAAGAGAGAATATGTGGATGTTTTCTGTTACAAATGGGGCAAAAAAAAAATTTCCTCAAGCTAAGATAACGTCTCTAGTTAATGTGTGACCACAAGCTAGTAACTGCATTGCCCGCTTTGAAATTGCCATGTGCAATATAAAACTGTCTCGTATACAGTTCATACTATATGTTATTTTTCGACATAACGCGGATGATTTCGATGACTGCTAAACAACCACAATACAATGTCTGCCAAAGAACCTAAGTAAAGAACCCGGATGAAAACAGTCGTAGCTTCACTGTTTACTAACATCAAAAGTCATTGTATAGTTTACGTCATCATTTTAGCATTACTTTTTGTAAAATTTCTTCCCTGAAGTCACAATGCTACCTATATTTATGATAACAGCCATATTTCTCATGGACTTTGTTCTGCCCAGAAAATTTCATCTAGGATATGTGGAAATACAAACCTGTTAACACGTCTTAAATGCAAACCTCGACATTTCCCAGCCATACTTCCGCAGAACGAGACACTTGACATAACTGCTTGCTCATTTTTACGCAACTCCTATCTCTCCCTCTCCAAGCAAGCTCTAGTTGTGGCCAGGTGACAGCATTCTTTTTTTTATTGTGCTTCTTTCAGTGGTAGTGTTTATGTATGTACACCTGAAGCTATAACAGCAATCATAATAGTCCTAAAGGAAATGCTTGTGCGTGCACTTGCTTTTGCTAGCGAATAGCCCACTCGCTGATAAATGACACTTTCACCGCCTGCGTGGTATTTATGGCGAAAGATAACTCTCCTTTGAAATACTTCTCACTGCAGATAGAGATATGGAGGCTACACTAACTTTCGACGTCAGTAGCTCTTATCAGCAACGATGAGAATCTGTGAGAGATGCCCTTGCTCTCGTCCATTGTGTTAAGCTCGACAGAATCGCTTTTTCAGGAAGCACTCCGTCTTCTTCATAGAAGGGGATTCGTCGCGATACAGCTTAGCTCATCAATTGCTGCATCAAAGGGTACGTACTATAGCACTAGGAGTATCGAAATTCAGCTTTTCATGTAACGTGAAATCAATTAACACTTTCCGTATACCTTTTTGTATCATGAAATTAAGCATCCCTGTTCAACGCTTGTGCGACTACTTAAGTGTGTGACATTGGAAGTGCTTGCAAATCAATTGAAACAGCAGAATGCTCAGAGGAGACGTGCATTCACTTTGTTTAGGAGACCGTACCTTGCTTATTTATGTCATACAAACTTACGTATCCAGCTTACTTGATTACTGATTCTCATTGAATTACCAGTCTGATTACTGCCCCCCATGGTTGCATAGTTACCATCTTACAGTACTAAGTCCTGATAGCTCAAATTCGATTCTTTTATACTGCAGGGTATCTGTGTTAATCCGAACACTACGTACACAAGAATGAACGCATGCAGATGGTAGAAAAAGAGAGAGAACCAAACACATTTTATAGACAGCAACAATATGAGTTGGCTGCAATATACGCTTTATATAAAGCCTGCTTCTCTGTATTAAGGAACAGCTGAAGGAAGTAAAATCACACCAGTGAACCATTTTGTTAATAAGGGGTAGATTTATAAACTGTTTCAGAAAACACTAACACTCAGTTTCCGAGGCAGGTAGAATATATTTTTTTATGTGAACTACCAGGTAGGACAGGCGTCCATATATTTTTAATTAACGCTATATATATTCAAACAAATAAACTTATGCAATTAACGCTTTCAATAAACATTACATGGCACACATTGCAAACGACGAGCTGTAGCCAGTGATATTGCGAGGCATATTCACTTGGATGAAAATTCGGAAAAGCCCACACACCCGCACACTTTGATTTGGGTGATGTTAAATAAGTGCTAGTGGTGAAAATAAAACCATAGTCGCCAAATTAAGCATCCCTCTGAATCATCTCATATGACTTAGACACGTAATGCCCCATAATTCTTTGACGTAATTGTATCTACTGCAAAGTGTGCTTTAGAAATACAGGCAATAATGTGAGGTTCAAAAAATGTACTCAGCAAATTAGTAGTCTGGAAGTGCGCCTTTTTCTCTCACACTTCAAACAGCTTAGAAACCATTTCTTGGAACCCATAAAATACACCCTGGAAGATTAAAATCTCGCTGCCATTTATTTTTTATGGTCAACTTAACTGTGTTCTGTTCCGCGGGCTGTCCAGATAAGACGTAGTTCAAAGAAAGAGAAAGTACACCGAAATGATTACAGAGGCCTTATCTAAGCTATCCAGAGGCTCGGTAAAGTGAATAGATGTTTGGCGTCACGACGCAGATACGTAGGGACAGGAGTTTCCTCATAACAAATTCAGTATTTTGTTCAATAAAGTCATTCAGCTAAACTACATTGCTGTTATTTTTTCATGTGTGTGGCTGCTCTGTGTTTTCAATGTAAGTGATTGTGGTTGCGGAAAAAGTCAGTTGCAGTATTGGTTTTCAACTAAATTGAAATACATAAAATTGTGTGTGTTATTTTTGAAAATGTTGTTCGTAGTTTTTCTAATATATGTAGTTATAACATAAACTATGTTCTCGATTTCCAGACTTATTCGAGTCAGGGATTGCTGTTTATCTGCTGCCTGTTTCGCTAGTCGGGAAATTAAGCATAGAGGCAGGATGCACCAAGGACGAAAATACTGTTTCAATCAAAGCGCAACAAGAAAGTAACAAAACGCATGAACTCTTGCATTTTACGCATTTCCAGAGCGGCATGTCACGCAGACGCTTCCCTGTTTACCAAGTTATTGACGGCCTGAAATACTCCAAAACGTACTTGCCCGAGAATGTGCGTGCCATCCGCGACTACATGCCGCAAGATGACGACCTTGTACTGGTGTCCTATCTCAAGTGCGGCAACAACTGGCTGGAACAAATCATCGAACTGATTCTCCATAAGTAAGCTTCAACGTTCCTACTTTTATGCGGTACAAGTGACGACAAACGTACCAACGCTAGCCGGTGAAAGTTCGAAACCTTTTAGTTATTTTACACTACGTCAAGCTTGCTTCAGTCGTTAAACATCAAAGGGAAAGTAATTCTCCCGTAACCCATCTCAAAACTAATATCGGCTGCAATGATTCTACAGATTATCAAATCACATGTTGTTGGCTCAAATTCATTGCCTCTGTGCAACGACGAATGATTCATCGTTGCAGAGGCAAGGAACACGGTGTTTCTCGCCTGCCAGGACATCACTTAACCGAAGAGTATGGCGTATAAATGCGATCAGCCCGTCATTATTTTCTGCTAACAAATCTGTCAACGAACACCGGTGCACACTGTTCAGTAGAACGAGCAGAGGGTCAAGTATACAAAAAAAGTGAGTCCGCTGTGCACGCTCTTGAACTTAGCTGTGAAGCCATAAAAAGGTGGAGCGATGTAGTTTGGTGCCCACTCCAGTAATATCTAGAATTCTTTTTGTTTGTTTGAATGTACCAATGTTCGGGAGAAACTATACGAGTCATTGACAAAATTGAAAAAACATACCTATAAATTTTAGGCGCGGATTTCTTTGAGTGATGACATATGTGATAGCAAGAGTAAATCTTGGCCACGTTAAAAATAAAGAAAAACAAGTGCCAGCAGCCATATTATTGGCAAGAAGATCATGCTGAGGCTAATTATCTGTTCTTCCAAAGTTATCGTAGCATTGTTTGTGAAAGTAGAATGACACGTAAGAGCGAATTTATCAGAGATAAACTTAATCACAACGTACAAATGTTAATTGAAACAAACACTGACCCGTAAACATAAAATATGTGAAAAAGATCACATGTGTACTGTCGGCATTGCGTTAAGCATATATAAAAAAAACAACGTTAATAAACATTTGAAACTAAATGTACCTAAGTTTGCGGGACCCTGATATCCGGACATGATGTTTCACAAAGTCGGCAATATGTTACATTGTAGATGTTTACCATTTTTCATAGCATCTAAGTTAGATGCACACGAGAATTGAGAAATTTTTATTACGTAATAGTAGTCCGCCATCAAACAACTTCCGGATGGTCAGAATAACTGGGAGTCCTTCATTCCGAAGTGCTTCATTGAGATGTGATCGATATACGATTTTCATCACCCCAAAACACAAGTTTTGACAAATCAGTTTCATCCTCAAGGCCGTCATATATAACACTCAATGAAATATAACAGTCCCTGCGCAAGTACCCAACAGCATAATATTAAATTAAGTAGCCTATCATGTGTATTTTTTTTTCTAACGCTATTCAGCTCTTGCTAGCAGCAGTCATTTATCATAGCCCTATTGAGCAATCAGACTTTCCGCTACGTTGCACTGCGCATCTGGCCTGATGATTTTCCTCTCTTTTTTTTTCAATTATACCCTTGCCACATCAACGTAACAGAAAAAAATTAGTTAACCTTTCTTTCTTGCATTATCTCTATACAGCATTTCCCACTCGGACACGTATTTCGAGAAACTGTGGGGGGGGGGGGGGGGGCGCTCTTCATGAAGGTGGCAATGATGAAATCAGTTTCAAGCATACTGCAACAGTGTCATTGCAACGTTAAGCAAATGATCTCAGAGAAGTTAAATGCAATTTCAAGATAAATAATCAACGAAACTTTTTGTACTGTTACCTAAGAGCGAAGAAGTAACATTCATGTTTATTATAAGTTGGCAATTTATAAAGCTCTTGTTTTGATAACGATAAAGAGCGTGGGCAAGTTTTACCATTTACCATTTCTGATCCTGGAGCGCAATTCCCGCATTGTCCACTTCGGGGGCGCTTACACTTCAACGGAGAACGTTTAGTTGTGTAAAAAAAAACAATGCACCGTGACGTGGTGACACTTTTGACGACGTCGGCGCACTTAACCCGCCAACACATTCCCAGCGTAAAAAGAAACTAAGTATACGAAATGTACAGTAACAGTACCCTTAAACAAACTTGAGAAGTATGAAAGCACGTATGAACGTCTTGAGGTGTTTGAAGAACGACGCAGGGAATGCCTACCGACCTTCCAGGTGTGTCAGGCGGGCGGCCACGTTAAGCCTAATTCAAGGGCTAACGTTAATAGAGTTTAGGCATGGTCTCAGAGATGTGCATCTAAAAGCGGGTCTCTGGGGGCAGAATTCGTTGTGGTGAAACGCAATTCGTTTTTCTCATTTCTGTAGAGAGTTGCGAAAGCTTCGTGGTGTTAAAATGACGTTACGGAAGAAGGACCAGAAACAGGTGGCGTGCTGCTCGCCAACTGCAGCCAATCAGTGGAGGCTCAATTGGGCATGTCCACTACGTAGACACCGCGAGAATAGCTTCCCTGTGTTCCACCTACGCTAACATAGCATCTAAAAAATCTAACACTGTTTCGATTTATGACTGAAAGATCCCTCGATCTCGTATTTTCCTGTCCATGAGCAATAACTAAGGTCTCATACCTTTTTCTTTAATCTGTTATTGTTCACAGGGGAGAAAGCGCGGACAACTACGCCGAATTTCACCGATGGTGCCCGTACCCGGAGTTGACAGGCATGCGCTACTTGCACGACATGCAGCCACCGCGTTTCTTGAAAACCCACTTCCAGTACCAACAGCAGCTCAAGAACCCAAAGGCAAAGTTCATATACCTGACCCGCAATCCGCTAGATGTTTGCGTCTCGTTCTACTACTACGTGCGGAGTGGTTCAGTATACCACTTCGAAGACGGCAGCTTCGACGACTTCGTACATGCTTTCGTCACCGCAGAAGTGGAACGCGGAGACTACTGCGACCACCTCCTGTCCTGGTACGCACATCGTCACGAAGACAACGTCTTCTTTCTAACCTTCGAACAGCTGAAGAACGACTTCAGAAACACTGTATTGTCCCTGGCAAGCTTCATGGGGGAGGAATATAAACGCACGCTAGTGGAAGACGAAGAGGTATACCGGAATGTCGTTGAGAAGAGTAGCGTGTCGTATATGTCCAAAGTCTGTTACATTGATCAGTCTATACTGGACAAGTTGACGGAGAAAGATCAACCTTTCATAGATGCAGCTTATCGCTTCAAGTTGGCCTCTCCCGGCATGCTGAAAGGAACGACCATCGTACGAAAGGGCGTAGTGGGAGACTGGAAGTCGCACTTTACGCAGGAACACCTAGAACTGATACGTGAGTGGATTGCGAAGAAAAACGCCGCCGGTGTGGTTCGAGATATCTGGGCAGACATGGACCTCGGCGGAATCGTCTGAAAGTCCGGGTTATATATAATTGTTCTGATGAGAAAAAATTATGCGCTACATTACTCAGCGAGTACTATTTACTTGAACTAAGGCGTGCATTATCGAAGTGACCGGACCGTGTGACGAAGTTTAGATTGCACATCAATTTGCGATTGATGTGTTACGGCGCCCGACAGGTGGTGCCGTTTGTTGTCAAGATGCCAACGGCCAGCTTGTGCAAACTATTGCTGCGTGAGCGAGAAATGCCGCACTAAAGTGAAAAAAAAAATAAACGTTAAGACCATTCACAGCTGCACTGCTTACCAACTTTGAAAGGAATTCCGTGTGTGTTGTAAATGCTCACCAACCACGTCATATTGTCGCTGACCTCTATTGTGATAAGCAGTTGTGCGTTCCATATGTCCAAGCATAGAACATGCATTTTTTCTTGTCAAACCATCTCCCCTTCCCACTTCCCCAGTGGAAAGTAGCAAATCAGATGCTTTCCAGTTAACCTCTCTGCATTTCTTCATACTATATATACCTCTCTTGTCAGTCTGTATATTGCCTCCCGTGCCCTTTGTGCATGTGGCTCTTTCCATTAGTATCACAGCTACAGTGATTTGTGATGAGCTATTTGAAGCCGTTGCGCGCAGCAAAGATCTTTGCTAAACAGAAGTGCGTGCGATAAGCGTTCAGAGGCACGAGCGCGCGGCTCACGCTGCGGTGCAACAAGGTTGTTAAAGAGAGACAGTCAGAGGGGGGGAGATAAAGGCACAGGTCTCCTCTGTAATCAGCCGGCAAATAGTACAATGACTGAAAATGCGTTACCTGTCATAAAACCATGAGTGGACACAACGCATGCGCACCCGTGGCGCTCGTAGTCAACTTAGCTAAAATTCCGCGGCCTCCGCTGGGCAACGCTATTGCGGTCCGCGGTCTATTCTGCTCGAGCGCTATGGAGAAGCGCGATTCCGGCATTAATGCAGACGGCATTACAAGCCAAAACCACGATAGTATTATGAAGCAGGCCGTAGTGAAAGGCTCCGCGATTTCGTTCACCTGGTGTCCTTTAACGTGCACTGATATCACGCGACACATGGGCCTCTAGCATTTCGCCTGCATCGAGATGGGACCGCCGCGGCGGGATTCGAACGCACGACCTTCGGGTCAGTGACTGAGCACCATAACCGCTACGCGTACAAGTGTGATTCAGGCTGCGAAGTGAGGGGTTTCTCGTCCGTACAACCACATCAACTACATCGATCACCGTGTTGAGCCAAGCTACGAGGTTATTATTTTGACCGAGCTCATCAACTACTAAAATGACCACTCAAATAATAAGAAAACGAAGCGACAACAACAAAAATGGCTACTAGAGCGGTGCTCATTTTTTGCCTTTTTTTCGCAAAATGTGATTCACAATGGAATACGAAAAGCCCAACCCTCGGTTCTTCTAAGGGACAAGATAGTATAGTGCAATCATTAGCAAGCACCAACACTATTACAGTTTAGATATTAAAAGAAATAGAATCTGCTTGGGTGATATGCGAGAAGCTGTCCAGGCTTATTTTCACATGGCATCAAAAAATACTAACCCATTTCACGACCTTTCAACGAAGGACGCCGAATCTTGGCGTAATTTGAACAAATAACAAGTCGAATACGGAACAACTTGTTCATAAAGAACACCTAGTATAATCTGTTACTTGAGGCTGTAAGGCTAAATTATCTGGAACTAGTTCATCCAAAAATAATTGCTAGATGCCTCTATGAGAAACCTCAAAACTCTGAGTCGTAGAATTGTCGTGTGAGAGCGCATTCCAAAAAACGTTTTCCTCGGACCTACTAACACTGAAATATACGCTCTTGATGCTGTGTTCCCTTTAATGATGGCGGCATAGCCCGTGGTCATGTGCTGAACTCCTCTGGACTTTCTCGATGGGACTGCACATTGCAGGGCCTACGCACCCTTGACCTGGGTCGACAGTACTTTGCTACAGGGCTGCACAACAGGCGAGTAAAGAGTCTCGCCAGGCAAGACATCTCGACGAAAAAAAGATAAAAATGGAATTGGTGATTATTATCTGGCTGGTGCCTATTGAATGGGCCTGTCAATTGGCTGTTATCTCGTAATTTTGAAATAGTGCACATTTTATACTTAAATGCAAGTATCTTAACATATGTCATTTTTTGTACTTACGTTTAACTCGGCAACCACAGTATCTAGAATCATGTATTTAGGCCACTATTCTGATGAATAGGCAATATACTGAAGCAGAATCATTGTGTGAGCAAGTGCTGTTCTTTAACACAACATCTAATGGTTGACACCGAGTGATAACTAGATAACTGAAGTAAAAAAAATTACAAAGAAATTGCGTTTCAATTTTTAGCGCTAAATCTGCTTCAGTCTAAAGAGGAAAGGCTCATGATCACAATGATTGTAAAATATTTGCTGTAACGCTAACGGTTATGAATAGGGAGGTACATAAACTTCGCCAAAGATACACGGCGGGTGGAGCGTTCACTTTGTTCCCTTGACAACGAAAAACCAAGCCATTAACTTTAAAGCTCAGCTTGAAGACTGCACAAACAGGGAAGATGTGACAAAATTGGTAAATAATGTCGCTTGGTGAATGCGCACCGACATTCATCTTCAAATGAGGGTGACGAAGCTAAAGCCGTTTCGCTTTAGTGGAGGAAAAAAAATACGTATAGTCATCGAAAGACACGAGGCTGTTTGTTTACGAGCAGTGTGAAGGTGAACTCTACTTGAACGTGCCAGATGGACCATGCACGTGAACACCAGCGTGAGTAGTTCCCGTAGGTTTGTTCTGTTCTACCCTTCCAAGATCTCACAGGCCATGCCATGGAGAAGCGTGCATCGTGGATATTTGATCGTGATCTTGCACGACGAAGGTCACAAAACACTCGCACTGTCATTTAACGAGAGCGACGTTTTCTCTGAAGCGTTAATGATGTATACTTGGTAGTTCCCAAGGTATGGTTGCCATCATAAATTATCGGGTGCAGACTCACACAATTGGCAGCGTTTAAAGACATGATGAGGCCATAAACAATATGAATGGCAGTGAAAGTCCCTTTAGGGAAAAGCTAAGGAGAGTACAGGCGCAGGCATTTGTCTTCGTGACCGAAAAAAAACGGGTATAAAAATGGGGGTTGTTTTTTTGGTTGTTTGCTGTAAACCAATGAAACCACAAGACAAGGAGAGCGAGGAAAGCATACGAAGCAGTACCTATTATCATCTCTTGTAGTAATTATGACAAGTTATTGTTAATGTGGACGAAATGTCACCTCTGTCATCGATAGGGCGTTCGAATTACGAGCAACACCTCATTTCACTGATGTTTTCAGTGCAGTGTGTTCTGTCTCCTCCATATTCTCAAGCTGTATACACCTTACTCGACGCTACATAACGTCCAGTATCAGCCCAGAAAATGATTTCACGTGATATCGTCATAAAATGACGTCATAATTGTGTTACGTGATATTTTTCAACATTTTATATGTCTGGGGCAATGTGAGTTCTGTTACCATTAGTGTTCACGAGGCTGCCGGTCACTATACACCGAATTTTTCGACCTTATGAGACAAATTAAGGCCTAAACGAAGCGGACCACCCGAAAAAATAACGCTGAGTAGTGTACTCCGAACAGGAGCAAAAGGAATTTTCTTTTCGGGGCGGGGGTGGTCATCTCTCCTTGATTTTTAAATGCAACACGGTCCGGCCTTGAGGTAGATAGTCATTTTCGGCTCCATATAAGTGACGGCAAAAAAACATCTCGGGGTAGAGCACTGGTCCCGTGTGCCACACCCAGCGCGCCACTGACTTTAAATACGCCAAAACCACAAGCTTCATCAAAAAGCGTACGAAACGTAATTTTTTCTACTTCTAATAGTTTGCAAAGAAAACTTTGCGCGGCGACGTTGGCTGCGCATCGCTGGACTCGCTTCGCGATCGAGGCTCGCGGGCCGTGGCCGAGTAGCGAGAGCTACTACGGCTGCGCAGCCTTGTCAGAGGTGACCGCCTATCCTCATCGTCGTCGTCGTCGTCTCCCGGTGTGTGGCGCTTCGACTTCGACTTTCCAGAGCGGGCTCTCGACTCGGGAAAAGAGCGGAACGAGGAAGCCTCGTCGCTGCACGTGGCCACGGGGGCCCGGCGCCCATGTGGCCTCAAGCGCTGCGACGAGCGACCGCCGGTGGCTGCGATTCTGCACAGTTAACGAGACTTTGTTTCAGACATGCTGGTGCAGCCAGTGTTGTAAAGCGCAGCTTGCAACACCTTTTGTTGTAAATCTCGGGACATTCTCGCTGCCACACACAGATTATCTATCTATCTATCTATCTATCTATCTATCTATCTATCTATCTATCTATCTATCTATCTATCTATCTATCTATCTATCTATCTATCTGTCTATCTATCCATCTATCCATCTATTCATCTATCCATCCATCTATCCATCTATCTATCCATCTATCTATCTATCTATCTATCTATCTATCTAACTATCTATCTATCTATTCATTTTCCCCCTAGAGACGATCCAATGATTTTCACTGGCTCGATGGTTCTCAGACTGGCACGAGTATTAATAGCATTTTACCATTGCAATCCAGCCGCTGTGGGCAGCCATCGAATCAGAGTCCACGAAGTTAGCGGCGTGACGCATTACCTGCTAAGTTACCACGGTGGGTGCAGTACTCCGTTTCATACATCAGGTGCAACACAGTGGAAGCTAGCGAGAGTTCTTGCAGTAGAAGTGCTCACACCAGAAATAGTTCAATAATTTAAACTTCCCACATAGTTTTTTTTTTGACGTTTATAGACTGAATGACTAATGAAGGGGCTATGTGGCTTAGAAATAAACAATCCGTAAACAGGGCTTCCATCGAGTTGACGATTCGAAACAAGCGCTGTTTACGGATTTATTATTGCAAGCTACCATATTGCTCTTCCTATACTGTTTTCTTAGAAATAGACACATTTATATGGTTGTCAATAGGTTGATCTCAATCGTTTAACACCGCTTTGTTTTCACATCCTGGCCTCTATGAGTAGTTTCAATAAAGCGTTCCAGGAATCAATAAAGGAAGCTATGTTTAAAACGATGAAATCCAAGTGGGGGGACGTGCGTTCTTGCACATTTTCTTAACAGAACTTCTTGAACAGAATACAACGCATTACAAACTACTAATTCCTCTA